AGTAAAATTGTTTCATTGTTATACAACCCCTCCCTCCAAGTCCACTCCACTATGAAGCCTTCATTCTGGACTCCTGTCATGACAATAATACCTAATCATAGATCCCTTTTAAAACAGTTCTCTCCCTCATCTGTTTCAGTGCAGTATACATCATTCCTCCCCTTCTTCTCTGCATTCCCTCAACCCCAATGCCAGTCCTATTTTACTACAGTGGCCCTATGCAATATTTGTCCTTTTGTGACTGAGATATTTCATTCAGCATAATGTCCTCTAGGGTCATCCACTTTGCATAGTATTTCATTAGTTCCTTGTTTTTCAGTGCTGCATAGTATTCCACTGTGTGAATATATCAGAGCTTCTCTAGCTATTTGTTGAGGGCACTTGGGTTGTTTCCAACTCTTTGCTATTGTGAACAAAGCTGCAATAAACACGGGTGTGCATATATCTGGTTGGGTGAAAGTTAAGGTTTCTTTAGGGTAAATTCCTATTAGTGGAATTGCTGGGTCAAATGGTATTTCTATCTGCAACCTTTTGAGAAAGCGCCATACCCCCTTCCACAGTGGTTGCACCATTTTACACTCCCACCAAGCATGAATAAGGGTTCCAGTCTCTCCACAACCTCACCAGCATTTGTTGCTTGCTGTTCTGTTAAATTTTGCTATTCTTACTGGGGTGAGATGATATCTCATAGTTGTTCTGATTTGCATCTCTCTTAGAGCTAGGGATTTTGAACCTTTCTTCATGTGCTTGTTAGCCATCTGAATGTCATCTTCGGTGAAGTGCCTTTTCATATCCTGTGCCCATTTTTCTATCGGATTATTTACCTTTATCTTGTTGTGGTGCTCTTCCTTTTTTAATGTTCACTCACACAATTTCCTCCCTCCTCCTTTTTTTATTCTCAACTGTTGTCATACATAAAATGCCTAATCATGTATTCCTTTTAAACAGTTCATTCCTTCATCTGTTCCAATGCAGTGTTCATAATCTACCCACTTTTCCCCTTCTCCTCCCAACTCCCCTTTACAGTCCTGCTTTGTAACAGCGGTGCTACGCAGTACAGAATACACATATGAGATACTGTGATTTCTCATGTTGTAGATGAGTAAGAATCCATGCTGCCACGTCATCTCTGAGAACTAGATATTTGCATATGTCATTATTTTGTTTTAAATGCTGAATTAAAACAGTAAAGGATACATGAAAGTTCTTACTAGGGAGTTCTCATAGTCTAGTGGTTAAGAAACTGTGTTGGAATCCTAAAGGCAGGCAGTTCGAATCCACCAGCTCCTCCCATGAGATTTACTGCCTCTGAAAACCTGGTGGAGGGTCAGCTATGGGTTGGTTACGACTCAACACACACAAAGTTGTTATTACCAAAGTACCATCCACGTTACTCTATCTGTATATCTATCAGCAGACAATGCTATTCTTTTATCTGTATACTAGACAACAAATTTGTCTAGAAGTTGTTCTAGAAGTTTTCATTGTTCCAATTTGCATACTAGGATTTCACCTTTCTCCCAAGAACTGAGGGGACAGAGATGATGACGAAGGTTAAGAGGTAATGGGGAGAAAGAAGAGAAATAAAAGGGTTCAAGATTAAGTTGGGAGGAATCATTGCCGTGAAGTCAGAACTGCCGTGCAACTAACTGACCCACCACTGCATTTCCAATTCTGAGACAGTAAATCACAGAGCACAATCTTTCTCCTGGTCCAAAGTGTGAGAGTTGTGGCCTTTGAGTGAGTATAAAAGCCCTGGTGGACTATGTCACCAGAACTCACTTAAGGAATTCTCTCCAGACTGCAAGAGGGTATGAAAATACTCGGAGCAAAGCTGGAAAGACCTGCCTTCTTGTAGAACTTATTCAAGGTAGAAAATTTACCACACCAGTGCCCAAGGCCTTCCTGCATTTCACATCAAAACAAAGCCCAGGATCGCGGTGACTGAAGTGACCGGAGTCTACAGTCCTGCTCCAGGATCCATCTGGACTGTTCAAGGTCCAGGCTGGCAAGATCAGTGGAGCTGACAGGGAGGGACAGGGCACCCTGGTGGCGGAGAACAGAATTCAGATGCCATCCAAAGTGAAGGTGAGAGGCTGGAATGCAGCTGGCCCTCCCAAAGCCAGGCCAGTCCACTCTGTAATGATTACCACCTCGGAAACCCTATGGGCGGTTCCAGTTTGTCCTACAGGCAAAACTCATTGGTAGAGGGCTCGGTGGTGGCTTTGGTTCTGACTGACCACCCTGGTGGCACAGTCATGGAGCACCCAGCTTCTAACCACCAGGTGGCTGCTGTCAGGTGCAGTTAGTGTGATACAACTCAACCCACAGCGACCTTATCAACAAGCCCTCTGAGCCCTGTTCTAGCCTGTGCCAGCCTCGCAATCTCTCATGTATTTGAGCCCATTGATGCGCTGACTGCATCAATCTGGTAGAGGGTCTGTCTCTCCTTTGCCGACCCTCTCCCTGCCTTTCCTAAGTATGATGTCCCTTTCCAAGGAACAGCTTCCTTCTCCTCAAAGGAGGTGACGCCACATTTTGCCATCTTTACCTTCAAGGCACACTCTGGTCTCCCAAGATGTACCTGCTTGTTCTCTGGTGGACTGGTGTCCGGCAGTCTGGGGGTTTGACTGAGGTCATCAGTGCCTGGTGGATAGGCTGCTTCTGTAAAGGGGGGTGTAAGGGACCACAGAGTGCTTCTCTGTATCCAGTGGGTCACCCGAGCTGGAACCGACCAAGGCAGCAGGTCACCCCCCGCAGGCTCTCAGCGTTAACCTGCAGCTGAGAAGGGTGAAGGCCCGCCGGCCAGGGCAGCTTCCTGCACGGGAAGGAGGGGACCAAGGACTGCCAGCCAGCGGCTTGGATCTTCTTGCTAAGAGCAGCGCGGCAGCTGACAAAGTGTCACCGAACGTCTTCAGATCAGCAAGATGGAAAGCTGCTGTTTACCCAAAAAATGGCAACAACTGGTACGTCATGTTTTGCTAAGCATTAACATAACTGCCACTTCCTCCTCCGTGAGCAACCCTGATGTTCTGGATGCTGTCTGTCAGGTTTGTGGTGAAGAGACCTAAAACCATCAGAGTGTTCATGAGTCCATAAAGGCCTTGAAATGATACAACGGGAGTAAAAGCAATTTCCCAAAGCTTTATTGAACTGATTCGTTTGAACTGAAGAGGGTTCACTGGCCGTGGGTCTCTCTGCGCCAGACAACATACACTAGTATACATGCATATACACACACACTCACAGGACTAAATATTTATTATATGTTAGAAGCAACAGATAGTCTTCATATATTTAAAGAGCAGCCCTGCTGGTGCAGGGTTTAAGTGCTCAGCTGAGAAGCTGTCAGTTCAAAGCCACGCGCTACCCTGTGGGACAGACACGAGGCGGTCTGTTCCCCTCAAGAGCTGCAGTCCTGGGAGCCCTGCGGGGTACTTCACTCTGGCCTGCAGCACCACGAGGTGCCTCGGTCTGAAGAGGACTCCTAGGGGTGCACTCAACAAAAGGTAGGTGGTTCGAGCCCACCCGCTGCTCCCTGGAAGACGTGGCAGTCAGGCCTTGGAGCCGCTGTGGGCCAACTCTACCCTGTCTTGTAGGGTCATCAGGAGTTGGCATCAACTTGATGGTAACGAGTCTGGATGTACTATGTTTCTCTTTACAAAGTCTGCGGGTGGTGCAAATGGTTAGTGTGCCTGGCTGCTAACTGAACGGAGGTTTGAATCCAGCCAGAGGCAGGCCGGCCTGGGGATGCAACTCAGCCAGCAGAAACCCTGTGGGGTGCAGCTCTATGCCAACAACAGACTGGCAGGAGTCGGCATCGGCCTTCCAGAAACTGAGGGGAGCAGAGGCTTATCTAGATATACACACACAGAACGGGGGCCGATGCATGTTTATCATGGGTGAACAGCACAGTCAAGGGGGGAGAAAGATCCAAATCAGGGGACACTGACAGTCTTGCACACTACAAGTGCAGAGGAAAGAGGTTCGCATGTTCAGGGCTGGGCAGGAAGAGGGGATCTGAACACGCGCGGATGAAGGAACCAAAGGAGGCGAGGCACCAGGCACAGCAGCGCAGGCCGTTCAGAGACAAACCTGTGTGCTGGGCAGAGGGAAGCAATCTAATCAGAGGCTGCGTAAAACAGAGCCTCATCCACCGGCGCCAGAAACCACTGTTGGTCTGTATTTCCCAACACCAATTAATACAGACTGGGGTGGGAGCTGAAGGGGAGGGCCCACAAAGTAGTAAGGGGGTACATGCCAAAGGCTGAGGCTGGATGGACATGGCTTAGTGGACATCTGGGAGCCCAAGGCCACCATCCTGCCTGTCCCTTCTCTAGGGCGGTGCCAGCCCCTGGAGGCAAGACCACTGGCAGCAGCAGCCCTTCTCCTTCACGTCAAAGTGCTCTGCTTCGAAAGCAGAACCAAAGTAAGAAGACGTCCCAGCTGCTGTCAACCCCTCAGTCTCACTCGAACACAAATGCCATGCAACGGGAGCCTGGGCTCCGCCAGGCTCTCACAGAACTCACCCAGGGCAGGGTCAGCACACACTGGGATCTCCCCTCTCCTACCACCCCCTACCCACAAAAAGTAACCCCACACCAGAGGAGAAACTTAGCACTAACAGAAGGACAACTACTTTATACAATCCTTTTACTACTACACTAACCTAGGGTGTTAAGAAGGCTGTTAGAATCCTTCTGCTACTACGCTAAGCTAGGATATTACAATCCTGCTACATATGTACAGTGTCATTACCCAGGGGCCCTGGGCGCGTTATAGACATTGCTACGTTAGATTCCTCTTCTTGAGGTAGTTCAAAGCCTGGACCTCGCAGATTCACACGCCACCCTGCACTGCTGAGGTGGAGTCCCTATTACCAATATCCTCACGTCCAGACTAGTGTCCTTTTCTCCCTCAGATCACACAAACGGATCTGACAGCAAGAGAAATAAACACAGAGAAATTACAAATCACAGGCTAGACAGCCAAAAATAAATCCCCACACACACACCCATACACACGCGCGCACCCCCCTATCTATATACACAAACCCCTGTAACTGACATCACACTAAATTAAAACTAAACTTAAAGAATAATCTACAAGTTTACCAAAACTACAGGTATTTTACAAAGTACTTGAGAAACAAACAGCTTATAAACTATGGTGGCACAGTATTGGGCAGGGCTTGGTTTTGTTGCACACGGACAGCAGAGTCAGGCCGAGCAACAAAACTCAGTTAAAAAGTTTGGGTGCGGGAGCATGAAACGCGAGTGGTCTCATGCCCTGGCGCTGGGTTCTCCCAGGCCAGGCCGCTGGGAATGGGAGTTTGTTTGCACAGTGATTCGCAGGTGGGTTAGGCAGGAGGCAGGCGGCCCCGGTGCGGGCTGCACGCTCAGGTGGACTGGATGCAGTCGGGGCAGCGCACTCAGGTGGGTGCGCCCAGGGCTTCGCGCTCAGGGCTGCTTCAGTGGCGCGGGGATGCTGGCTGAGGCCTGCTCCAGGTAGGCCAGCGAGCCCTGCGGGAGCTCAGCCGGCTTCTTGTGCTGCATGCTGATGTCGTCCAGCACCTGCTGCCAGTGCCGCAGCTTGGTCAGGTGCTTCTGGACCAGGGCATCTTTCCGCTGCAGCTCGTTCCTCAGCTCCGAGACGTCCTGTAACCAGGGAGATGGAGCAGATCAGAGGAAACCCCAGACAAAGGAGCAGAGCACCTAACTCTGGTGAACTGCGACGAGGGGCAAATTCAAAGCAGAGCCAAAGAAGCCAGGCCAGTTCTTCAAATCAAAGACATGGGCCTGTTTTTATATTTAACTCTTTCTATTTTAAAGTAAGTAACGCATAAGATATTAAAACTGAAAGAGTAGCAATGAAGTCCAAGTCTCTTGCCCAAGTCCTAGCCCCCTAGACACTAGATACCCTGGCCAAAAGTTTAAAGTGGGGAGAATCTGAAACAGTAACTGCGGAAAACAAAATTTCATACTCACTGTTCTACTCCAGTATGAATGTTACAGCACCTCGGGAATGGTGCTCTAACACCAGCCTTTGTCATTACAAGCAGGCCTTAAACATTTCTATTGCAACATTAGTCACATCAGGAAATGATCTGATAACAAGCTGGAGACTTCACCGTCTTACCCCTCACCTTCTCAACAGCTGGGATCATGAATGGAAAGGACCTCCCCGATTCACTGGTAAGCTGATGGGAGCAGTTACTCAAACAGGCCCCCAAAAGGTTCATTTTCCCGGAGAGCTTCTCCCCAGGTACAGGTAGCCATCAGGCTGGGGGATTCCTCCTCCTTCCACACCATCAAGGTTGATTTGCTTGAACCCACCCACTCAATGCTGTTAAAGTGACCTACTTATCCCTTCCAAACGGCCCTGGTTACAACAGTAAGATAAATGAAGGCTCAGTTCTAAGATACTTGAGCCTCAGCATCTCCTGTGAGTCAATGAACAAAACTGAGCAGCCCTTCCTGTGTGGAAAGGGCAGAGTGAGGCCACAGGGGACACGCGGGCCACGGCTTCTGGTTGGCTAAGTTTCTCTTTAAGAAAAGCCTTCCAGGGAATAAAGCAAGAAAAGAGCAGAGCTGCTGTGTGGCGCTCTGTCCTCCAGCCCGCTGCCGGGCACAGCGTCCCATCTGCTGTCAGGAGCGGTGCCACCTTCTCTAACCAGCGAGCAAGGGTCAACCTCACCTACAGCCCCACGGGAATCCTGCCATCACGGTGCTTCCTGAAAGGTGAAGGAGGAGACAGAACAAAACCAGTGCATACCTCTTTGATAACTTGCTCTGGTTTCTGGACAGATAACTGTAATCTTTTTTGTAGGAAAAAACACTCTGTCTGTCTTGCGATATCCAGAAACTTCTGGATACACTGATCAACACCTTAGGGGAGAAAAACAAGATCGAAATATTAGATGACGGAAAACACGGGACAAAGCAGCACCCTCCTCACAGATGTATTCTGATTACCTGAATCCTGGCCAGGGCAGAAATGATGACTTCCCGTCCCTGCCCTGATGTCTGCACCCAAATGAAGGGAAATGCGTGCTTTTATCAAGGGACTCAGAAGCCTTAATGCAACACGAAAGCATGAGCTCTCTGAAGGGGGCTCCAAAGATCCAGCAATTAGCTATGATTTCCAGGTCAAATGGAACACTGAAACATGGCACAAAAAACCCAGCAGTGCGGGTTCCTTCAAAGGACAATAGTGGAGTAGGTGGCTGGCTCTAAGGATAAAGCACAGAATTTTCTGTCGACCATCTATTAAAAACTGGTACAACCTGGGTCCCGACAGAGCAGGAGAAAAATGTGGAACAAAATCATATGAAAGATCTGACTTGCTGGTGAGAGAGACACAGGAAGAAACCCTGAGGTCCCCGGAGTCTGGATCGGAACTCATCTCCGGGGCCGCCTTTCAGCCCAGCAGAAAGTAAACACACCTCAGATGAGAACACGGCAGCATTTATCCCAAAACAAGCTCAGAAGGCAGGAGGGGCAGGAAAGGATGACCAGAAATGGGAAGCCAGGGAGGAAGGGGAAGCAGGGGTTAATTACACTGAGGGGGTTCTAGGTAAGGCCTCAAAACAAAACAAAAAGTGTATACTTTTTTCCCATGGATAAACCGATTTGCTCTATAAACTTTCTTTCAAATCATAATTTTTTTAAAAAGTCTACAGATGAGCTTTGGTGGCCTAGTGGCAAGAAGGTGCACTGCAATACCCCCAGAGGTGTGCAGTTCGAATCCACTAGATGCTCTGCTGGAGAAAGAGGGGCAATCTCCTCCTGTACCAGTCAGATCCGATCTGATGGTACATACACAAAATTAAAAAAAAATAAAGAAAAGAAAAAGAAAGTCTACAAAGTGGAAAGGGGAGACCCACCAAAAAAACCTGTTATGTGTTGTCTCTTGCTAGTTGTCTTTGTCCTAGACCAATATGAAAATATTGATGAAAGATTAAAAAAAAAAATCTCATTTTTATACCATAAATGATTTAGCAGGCCAACTGATACACTGCACAGAGACTAGAGAATCCTGAGTCTATGAGAGGAGCCACACAATCTGACTCTCGGTATCTCTGGGACCCACTGTGCAAACGGAGGGGCTTCTTACCAGTGCGAATTTCCTCCTGATCCGTGCCGCTGACATAGTCCTGACTCACCAAAGACGCAAAGCAGGCCTGAGGGATCAAAGCACACCAAGAAGGAAGCTTTAGTCAGCCCGACATCGCAACCCAGGGAAGGAACACGGTGCTAGACAGTGCACTGAGTCGGTAATGTGTCGATTTGTACTCCACAGGGCATCAGTGAGGACACCTGGTAAACAGTCCTGACCCTGGTCCACGGTCGGAGGGGTTAATCTCCTAGCCTCGCCCTAAACCCTGATTTCCAAGACTTTGAGATGACTAGTGCCATCGCCCACTCAGCCCAACTCACAGCCCCTCGGGAGGCCATCTGGACTATGCCCAGTTTTGTCACTTTTTTTCAGTTAAGAGGCATCATATCCATTCTTCCCCCGCCCTCGGTACACTCAGGACAGGAGGCTGTACACAGGGTTGCTGTGAGATGGAACTGACACAGTATTCACACATGTCTTCCTTCCCCTGAGGAAACCTGTGTGGAACAACTGGCTAAAGACCAAAAGGTTGGTGGTTCAAATCTACCCAGAGGTATCTCAGAAGTAAGGCCTAGAGCTCATGTGGCCCCAAAATTCCCTTCTGCAAGGAACGTATGAGCCAAGTTCATTCCATCCAGAAGCATTTACCAAGTAGCTCTCTCTATCCCAGAAAAAAAAAAACAAAACACTCGAGAATGCTGGAGATCTCAAGAGGCTGCAGCCCCAGAGAGGAGACGCAGGTGGCAGGTCCACAAGGCCCTGGCAGATGTGGCATGCTGGCCAACACTGACCATAGGCATTAGACAAGACAGGTTCCAGAGAAAATGCAGCCTCTGAGTGGAGTCTTGACAGAAGACTAGGCTGATAAACACCCAGTGGCAGAGAAGGGTTCAGGTGTCCTCTCTTCACACCTCTCCCCAGTTACTCCTCAGCCTCTGGGGTTCAGTCATCTCCAACAGCCACGCCCCACTCTCAGTGCCCTGGGCTGACCTCAGCATCCTGACAGGAGCCAGAGTCGATGCCTGCCATCAGTCTGTCTCCCCCATTAACTGGCTGCCATTGGTCCCATCTCCATCACCTCCCACACCGCGATGAGGGCAGGTTCTCTCCTCCAGACTCAGAACCCAAGACAGACCAGACAGGCTGACAGATACCCAGCTTTTGCTATCTGCTATTAAATATTAGGCAGTCCCGGTGGCGCAAGGGCTAAGCTAACCGAAAGGTCAGCTGTTCAATCTGGAACAGGTCAGGTGCTAGGCTGCTAATCTAGAAGTCAGAACTCAGGAGCCTAGGAAACCCCATGTCTAGTTCTACTCTGTCCGACGGACACACTACCTCCCTGAGTCAGGGCAGGACTCAAGGACAGCACATACGACACTGAGCGGAGTCCTGGGACTAGGGGCATGAGGGCTGAGCATGAGACGTTAACCAAAAGGCCAGCAGTCTGAAGTCACCAGCAGCACCATGCAAGATGGGGCAGTCTGCTCCCTAACGACTGTTGCTGTTGTTATGTGCCGTCAAGCTGCCTGTGACTCATAGCGACCCTAAGTATAATAGCCTGAAACCTGCTTTATCCTGTGTCAACCTTACTGTCTCTGATGCACCTGCCCTCCTTACGCCCATCTCATCTCTTTAGCTGTCTCTAAACGCTCCCAAGCATAATGTCCCTCTCCAAGGACTGGTCCCTCCTGGCAACATGCCCATAGTATGTCAGACGAAGCCTCAGAATCCTTGACTCCAAGGAGCAAACTGGTTTCACCCTCTTCAGGATGAACCTGTTTGTTCTCCTGGTAGTTCAGGCAATATTCAATCCTTTTATCCAGCACCAGAGCTCAAAGGCCTCAATTCTATCATCCCTCGTCATTGTCCAGCTCTCTTGATGCATAGCAAGCAATGATGGTAGTCTAGGAATCCCTGTGGGGCAGGTCCACACTCACAAGTCACCAGGAGCTGGCAGCTCACATTAACCCAAAGGAAGACCATCCTTTCCTACTGCCTTCCTTAAAGCAACTTATTGTTGTTGCTGTTATGTGCTGTCGAGTCGTTTGCGACTCATAGCGACCCTATGTACAACAGACCTAAACCCTGCTCTATCCTGTGCTAATCACATTGCCTCTGACACACCCATCCCGATTACCCCAGTCACTGAATCAATCCACCCCATAGAGGGTCTTCCCCTCCTATGCCGTCCCTCCACCCTCCCAAGCATGATGTCCCTCTCCAAGGACCTGTCCCTCCTTATAACATGTCTAAAGTATGTCAGATGAAGCCCCAGAATCCTTGCCTCCAAGGAGCAGCCTGGTTTAACCCTCTCCAGGATGAATCTGCTTGTTTTCTTGGCAGTCCATGGTACCGTCAGTACTCTTCTCCAGCACCACAGCTCAAAGGCATCAATTTTCCTTCTATCCTCCCTAGTCATTGTCCAACTCTCTGATGCATAATGAGTGATTGCAAAGACCATGGCCTGTGTCAGACGCACCTCAGTCTCCAGAGACATCGCAATGCGACTTAGTAAGCAGAAAATTCCCAAGTCCTGTCACACTGTTCTCTGGAGGAAGACGTCCCGGGGCCACTTCTCAACAAAGCCCATTCTGGGTGTGCCTGGGGCACTGAGCTCTTTTAAAAGCTTTCTGGAGGAAAAGCTCTCTCATGACAGGATAAGGTTCACAGGACAGGTACAGAGGGGTTCTGCCTCCACCGGGCCTGGCTGGGGGTTCAGTGCTGCAAAGGGAGCAGGGGTGCCAAGGAAGTGGTGTAGGAGCTTCAGGAAGCAGGACTGGGGGCCAAAGAGGAAAATCCAACTCAACGAATGACCCATGCGGAAAAGGTCTCGAGTGTACGGAACACAAACATGCAGAGCTGGGATGCCACAGCCAATTATCCAATGGTGGTCATCAAAAGGTCAGTCTTCCAGCAGGGGCTATGCCAGGTGCTGCGCTGTAGCTTGTAGTGGTGAGCTGCCCGGGTCAGCTGTGGCACACAGTGATTTCAGGTACGTTCACTGCCACGTTCTCGAGCGTTACAGAAGATGGTCTGGGAGCCCAGCACTGAAGCTGCTCCGTGTTCTGTGTGCCTTCCAACTCAGGGGCTCGTTTCCCAGCACTGTTTCAAATGATCTTCTACAGTGACACACAGAGGAATCACTAGGTCTTTTTCAGAGGTAAACTGCCAGGCCTTTCTTCCTAGTCTCTTATTCTGGAAGGTCTGCAGAAACCTGTTCACGATGGCTGACCCTTCTGGTATGTGAAATGCTGATGCCACCAGTTCAAGAACCACAGCAACACACCAGTCACCACACGCCAAGCTCAAACTACAAGGCTGGGGCTCTTGGCTACTCTCTCTTCATGGTTTGGTGCCTCCTGTAAGTCCTCATCCTCCTAGACACATGTCCTTGTCCTCTGACCATTATCTCCAAACTTCTGATAGCCACATCCTAATGGGAAAATAATTTTGTCCACCCAGTCCCACGAACGAGTTCAATTCACTGAGCTGAGAAGCCCTGTGGTTATCACACTGCATTATGTGCTGGGCCTCCAAGTCAGGAGACAAAGATAAGGCACTCTGCTCCTGTTGGGATTTACAGCTTTGGAACCCTGGTGAAGGGTCGCGGGAAGTCACTCACAATCAAGATGAGCAGGCTAGTTATCGGGGCAGTTGTCAGGAGTCACTGCATCCATGTAGGACTCATACCAAACAACACTAAAAGCAAAACCCCCATTAACAAGATTAAAATGTTGAAAACATAGCTCCCAGTGGCCTTGTTTCCAAACACTGATGGCTGACCCTCTACTTTAAGGACTGAGGGGAACCACCAAAGCGCCTTCCTCTCCTGTGTCTACTTGCACCACTTCCACTCTGCTTCCAGCCCAAAGGAGCTGTTAGTGGCCTAAGCGTTGGGCTGCAATCCTAAAAGTCAGGGGTTCAAATACTCCAGAAAGACAAAGCTGTCGGCTCCCACAGAAAGCCCATGGGGTGACTGTCCAAGGGGTCACTTTGTCCTAACGGTGATGCACTTGGTAGGAAGCTTCACCGCTAACGCAAAGACAGAGCCTCTCAGATCCACTAACCGCCCCTGTGAAAAAGCAGGACCATCTCCTCCTGCGTGATTTACAGCCCGAGAAAAGCCGCTGGTGATTCGATGGTATGAGTGAGAGTGGATAAAAGGTCTTTCTGAGCTGAAATCAATCCGAGAGGAGAGGGTTTGGGTTAATCTCCTTCCCAAAACCCGACCATTTCCGCCCCAAGGGTAAGGGACAAAAAAGGTGGAGGCCCCAGAAAGGCTACAGGATGATGCAGCATTTTACAATCCATGGCCGCTCTTGAAGAAGGACAAGCTGGAAGTGGGAACACACCAATGCGCGCGCATTCTCGAGGCGGGAACCAGGAAGCAGCAGGGACGCAGAGAGATTCCCAGGATGGGAA